ACCTTTGCTCAAAAAGGTCATCTTATTTCCCATAAGATGATCCACACGGGAGAAGCCATATAAATGCATGGAGTGTGGAAAGACATTTGCTCATGGCAGTGCACTTAGAATCCATAAAATGCTCCACACAGGAGAGAAACCATTTAAATGCATAGAGTGTGGAAAGACCTTTGCTCTGAGCAGTAGACTTATGATCCACAAAAAAATCCACACAGGAGAGAAACCATTTAAATGCATAGAGTGTGGAACGACATTTGCTCTGAGCAGTAGACTTACTAGCCACAAAAAGCTCCACACAGGAGAGGAACCATTTAAATGCATGGAGTGTGGAAAGACCTTCGCTCTGAGCAGTACACTTACTATCCACAAAAGGATCTATCTCCATGGGGGGAAAGCTATTTAAATGCATGGAGTGTGGAAAGTCATTTACTCAGAGCAGTGGACTTAGAAGACACAAAAAGATCCACACAGGAGAGAAACTATATAAATGTATGGAGTGTAGAAAGACCTTTGCTCAAAAAAGTCATTTCCCATAAGATGATCCACACAGGGGAGAAGCTGTATAAATGTATGGAATGTGGAAAGTAATTTACTCATGGCCATGGATTGAGAAAAGAGAAAAAGATCCATTCAGGAGAGAAGCCATTTAAATGCACAGGAGAGAAACCATGGAGTATGGAAAGACTTTTTCTCAAAAAGGTAATCTTATATCCCATGAGATGATCCACACGGGAGAAACCATATAAATGCATGGAGTGTGGAAAGACCTTTGCTCGTAGATGTAATCTTATTTCCCATAGGATGATCCATACAAGGGAGAAGCTGTATAAATGCATGGAGTGTGGAAAGACCTTTGCTCCGGGCAATGGACTTAGAAGACACAAAAAGATCCTGGAGCTACCACAGGACTGGAAAAGAGCTGATGTGGTTCCCATCTTTGAAAAAGGGAAAAAAGCAGACCCAGGAAACTATAGACCAATCAGCCTAATATCAATACCCAGGAAGATGCTGGAAAAGATGATAAAAAAAATCTGCCAACATCTAGAAACACGTACAGTAATAACTAGCAGTCAGCACGGGTTTGTTAAAAACAGATCATGCCAAACCAATCTTATTTCATTCTTCAACATAGTGACTAAATTCGTAGACCAGTGAAATACTGTGGACATAATATACAATATTTAGATTTCAGCAAGGCATTTGACAAAGTTGAACAAAATCTGCTTTTTGGTAAGCTAGAAAAACCTGGGATAGATAGCACCACCACCAGATGGATTCGCAACTGGCTGACAAACCGTACTTAAGGAGTAGTCCTTAATGGGTCTAAGTCTACATGGAGGGAAGTAAGCAGTAGGGTGCCACAAGGTTCTATCTTAGGCCCAGTACTCTTCTTTAGCTTCATTAATGACATAGATGAGGGCATAGAAAGGGAACATACCAAATTTGCAGATGATACTAAGCTGGCAGGAATGGCTAACACCAAGAAGATAGGCTCAAGATACAGATGGATCTTGACAGACTAGAATACTGGGCCGTATCTAACAAAATGAAATTCAGTGTAGAGAAAAGTAAAGTCCCACAGTTAGGCAAGAAAAACCAAAAGGATACATATAGACTGGGTGAAACCAACCTCAATAGCAGTAACTGTGAGAGGGATTTGGAGTCTTAGTGGACAACCAGCTAAATATGAACCAGCAGTGTGCAGCAGCAGCCGCCAAAAAAAGCTAATGCAATCCTAAGTTGCGTTAACAGAGGGATACAATTGAGATCAAGTAAGGTACTAATACCACTCTATAAAGCCTTAGTAAAATCACACCTAGAGTACTGCATCCAGTTTTGGTCACCATACTATAAAAAGATGTTGAGACTCTAGAAAAAGTGCAGAGAAGAGCAACCAGGATAATGTAGGGACTGGAGACGAAAACATGAAGAATGGTGACAGGAACTGGGCATG